CCACAAAGCACGTACAACTTCAAAAAAAAAAAACTTCACGATATCAGCTAAAAATGTATTGGATTAAAAACTCAGTCTCGAAAAGGATATGAATAATTCAACTGTGATAGACAACAACTTCAAAAACATCAACAAACAACAGATTGTGAAAACAGCATGCACATAATTTGGGAGCTGTGCATCAGGAAAGTACTCAAATACAATAAATTGGCCTGCCACAGTTTTACATCTGTATCAAGGTTATCTGCAGTTAGCAGGATTGTACATATCATATATAGGCAGACGACATGTCTCTGGCCATTTTAGAGCGCTTCACCTACACTTAATCATACAGTCATGTGATTTGAGACAGCAGGCACTTTTGCCAATCATCCGTGCAATGCTAAATTAGGCATGATGATGTGACATACGGAGATGGCATCACATAGCGTTTTAAGTCGTTTTCTATGGTCATACAATCCAGAATCAATTTGAGACGACCAAAACCTTTAGGAATACTCTGACGACTCTCGGACACCAGCAATTTTCATGGTTGAATTGTTAAGCATGAACATCTATCTATAAGGTATACGTTATACATTCATGTATTGTGTTCACTTGCGTGTTATAAGCAGGTGATTTTCGGTGGGGATTGGAAGGGGAGAGGGAGGGTATTTATATATAAAAAATTGCTTCCTGAAGAATAATTCTGCCAGCTGGTATAGACACTTGACAAGGTCAAACCATGTGTCTGATTGATCGAGAAACAACATGGTCAAACCAGGTGTGTGCTTATCAGGAAATGATTCTGTTTTTTTACAAGGTTTGCCCAGAAAATGTAATTACGAGGTAGGAACTAATGAGCTTTTACACAATGACTAGGATCTGTCTTGACTGTCAAAGCTGATCGATGAATGAGTGTACGGAGAATCATCAGAAAATTAAGACCAAGAAAAAAACCTACTGGCACTTGATTCCTTTCATTGTCAACAAGCTCCATATTACACATGAAGAACATCCATCACATAGATATCAGTCAAGTTACAATTTATACTCCCTAAAGAATTTGTAAAGACCATGATATGAGCAGCCATTTGAACATGTAAAACAGGCAATACTCATGAAAGTGTGCATGTTCTTGCAGTAGAATATCTGATTTTTATATCAAGGATTTCAGTGCGCCAGGTTTTGGATGCAAAACTGTTAGACATCGTTCAAACTTGATTAGTTTTTTTCTATTAGACATCAGCGGACACTTTGATTGGATATTAACGTTAGCTGACCTCCAGGGTCTGATGAGAGGGGCCAAAAAAGGGGACAAATTGACTGAAATTTCAAAGATGTTCTACTATTCCGGGATGGAAAATTTTAAATGAAAACTAAAATCTTGAGAGTAATTTCTTTTCTTTAATTCAAACTTGGTAAGAAGCCTTAGCATAGGACAACAGTTAATTTATACACAATTTACATTTGCATTATCTGTGCAATAGAATTATAGTTTTATCATTTATTTCAGCAAAATTATTTCTATGACATGTTACAAGAACCATTGTGACTCGGGCGACCATTAAGGACCTTTGGGCCTCTTGTTATATTGTTGTCCCATCATAATGTTGACACAGCTGTTTTCAATTATTGAAATACACATTGAAAATTATGAAAAAAGAGGTAAATAAACAAAATTGTAATCCTGGTGTTTTCTGTCATCTTGCATAATCGGAACAATTTCGGTTGGCAGAGTCCAGCTGAGTCAGTGAGGCGTTTTAATTACATGAACATGTGACAACTCTAAGCATACATGGACTTGTAGATTGTTGCAGACGTACGATAAACACTTAATACACTGTTCTCTAGAGGGTGAAGTGTTGTTCCAGTCATTGTGACATCATGTTTTGGTGAATGATATACTTAGAAGAATTTAGTTGGAAATCTAGTTTATCACTTAAGGGCGTATCATGCAAATTAATCATCAGGAAGCTTTCAAGCTTTCACCCTTGAAGTGAGAATGTCTTGTGTACTTGATTACACGAAGGCTAGCATGTCCGACACTGTATAAGTAACGTCTACATAATTATATTAAAAAAAATATGATATGTGACTGTACAATTTTTTCTGATAAATGTGAAGCCTAGCAACAAAAAAGAAGAAAAACATGTAATATATGTAAAGGCTTAACGAGACAGGAATTTATACATGAAATGGGAATTAATAGAAAGATGTACACACTGCACTCTGGTGTGAGTTCATCGCCTACACAGTATGACACAAGGTAAATTCAATTGTTTACTTCCGATTGTTGACAAGTGTAAACAGATGACATCTTCATTATGTATTTATCGTGAACCTAAATATCATCCAGTGCAGCAATAGATGTGGGGATCCTCATTTGCCAAAACTCTGTCCACTTTTGTTGTTTTCGCTGGAATTTTATAAATGTCTTTTCAGCAAATTTTCCTCTAAGTGGCCACTGAAATTAAAAAAAACCCAAGTTGTTGGCAATTTCATTGCTACAAGTTATAATCCAAAACAATTATCACACAGTACAATAAAAACATCAGGACTGGAAAAATTAAGGTTTAAAGTCCCATAAAATGAGCAACATTTTCTAAAAAATTAAAGAGAAAAAATATTCTTTTTATATAAATTTGGCAAGAATTAACTTAACTAAAAAATACTCATTACACTATTTTGCTTGGCGTTGATATGGAAGCGAATGAAATTCTCTCCATGTATACATGCCACCATTTACGACAGTTGCCAGACAGAAGTTGGAAATTCCTTTTGGCGTTTCCATAAGAGGTCTGTATTTGATATAAACGTATATACTAAACAGCAAGCCCTTAAATGTCTATACGCCTCTATTCAACTTATGATTTAACATCACAAAAATACTTAGAGCACGGTGTGGCATGGCAATTTAACTGAAAACACTCTTACACCGAGTATATAAATTGGTGGGTTTTTTGTAAAGGCCCTTTTAACTTTGTATAACATCAGTTTGTATTTTCTGCGGGATACACTTTTGTAAAACTTCTTTGTTTCAACATCAACAACAAATGTTTCTGAATAGATCAGTTTAAGTATGTTTAAATGTTTAATATTTACATAATTATCAAGTGGAAGTTTTCTCAGAAACTATCTGTATCACGTTAACTTGTCAAATGATTTGTATATTGGAGCTTTAATGGTAATGATATACTGAATAGGTATTACAATTCATGGCCTATATTGTATATGATGTACAACACGGAAACACTGAGCGTGTTCCTTCAAAATCTGCAAGTGTGTAAAGTTCACTATGTCAACCACTCAGAAAACTTTAACAGTTTATTATCGTTGAATTAAATAGAACTGGCCATTTAATATTGTTGTGTTTTTTTACTTGTACCTTGAAATCATAATTCAAGTGGTGTCTTATTCAAGGTCTTTTGAATACAAAATTCCTACAAGGGAGATAATTCTGTCAAAAAAATTGAAATCTAAATAGTGCAACATGTAGTTTTTAAACATCTGTGACAAGTTTATGACCAAGGAAAGATTGTATTTACCTATTAAATATGTGTGTGGGATTGGTTCATAGCAGAATGACATCCTGTGATAAATCTCATTTATTTGTCTAAAAAGAATAGTTATCAGCGATTCACCAAGTCCAACTGATTTTGAATAGATGTTTATTGAATAGGAAGATAAAAACACATTTTATAATTCTGTAAAACTGATAGGCATAAAAATGATTAGAAAGCTGTTTACCAATTCGATTGTCTATTCATTTTTTGTGTTGGACATACTTCTAACTATTATTTGCTGTTGTGTTTCTTGATTTGAATTGTAAATGAATGTAATTGACTCCTATCTGGTGTTTTTACGGCCAGAATATGTCCCTTGTTGTATATTTATTGGTCGGTGTGGCTGTACTATGTACACATGACAAGATCCTCAAATTATACAATTTCCTACACATAAATATGAATACCCTGCAGACTGAGGAAGCACACTGTGAGCTTCCGTTTGATAGACAACTCTAACAGATTGTCAATATACTGGCATTTCATCATCAAGATTAGATTCCCATCAGGAAAATTAGGTTGTCTCGTTTAATCTAACAATCAAAAGATGTCAGAAGCATTCAATGATGGAACCTTTTTTTTTTAATTTAAAAAATCTTAGATGCTTGTTTACAATTCTTTTTTAACATTGGCAGAGCTATTATAACCTTGTCATCTAAAGATAAGTGAATCCTTAATTGTTAGGTAGGACGTTTCAGGCCTATGTGTAAATGAAAAATGGCTGGTTTATATGGTAGGGTGACAAACAGAATTATTGATAATCATTGATTACTGTAGTGTAAATGCATATGGAATTGATTAATTTGTACATAGAAAATGAAATATTGGTGAAAAAAGATAAACTGCGATTTGTCAGCTGATTTTTGATGTACATAATGTAACAGAGAATGCCTTATCAAATACATCTTTGAAATGCAACGGTTCTCTCTCATTTCTACATTTTTTTTTACCCTCATGATACATGTTTTGTCCAAAACAGGATCTGAACGTTGCTTATCTATTTAGAAAACCGTCGATATCTGTCATCTCTTTGATAAAGATAAAAGAAACCAAATCAAATAGACGCTACGGTATAAAGAGAGATTTTGCGAGGGTATGAATTAGTGATTTGCATTTTTTTAAGTATGTTTGCAATTTTCAAAGGACGCAGCATTACGATCGATCAGCTACCTAGAAGTGTAATTGTTAATTATGCCAGAGAATTAATTGTTAACATTAAAAAAAAATGATATTTATAGATGATTTAAGAACAGAAGTTCAGACTCTCAATTTTGATGGTCGCTTATGATGAAAGTTTTCTTTGAATAAGCCCTGCCATTTTGTGATCTTTGGATCCAGTGAGTATACAGCTAGATTGCTATGGTTGTTGTGCTACAATTAGTACTGTTCAATGCACCTGCTTGGAACCAGGCAAAAATCTATTCTCTCATTTTTTAAATTTTTGTCTCATTACAGGGGATGGTTGTGAACGGCCTCATCAGTGTAGTGATTTCCTCATTGGAGAAACGATACAGCCTCAGCAGCTCTGAATCTGGACTCATTGCTAGTTGCTATGACATCATGTCAGCAATTAGTCTCATTCCGATCAGTTATTTTGGCGGTATCGGTGTGAAATCACGATACATAAGTCTGGGTCTGATGTCCATAGCTGTTGGTTCATTTATTTTTTCATTACCACACTTTACGTCCGATGTATATAATTTTGGACGTGTCGATGATGATCAGCTTTGTCTCATTAATGGATCGTCGTCATGTTCTGCCAATTCTGCCTCGACTAGTAATCTGTCCGTCTCCGACTACAAATATGTGTTCTACCTAGCCATGCTATTAATGGGCGTAGGAAGTGTGCCTTTATTTACATTAGCACAGCCTTTTTTGGATGAAAGTGTTCCTGTTCGCTCAGCGTCCTTGTATCTAGGTAAGTCTTCCACAAAATCTATGTAAAATTCATCACCTTTCTGTACTTATTGACACTCATTGCCAACAATATCCATTTCCAGGTCCTTTTACTATCGTCAGGCATTTGTCGTTATGCCGTCTCCTGTTCGCCATGCACTAATCTGCAGTCTGTAAACTTTTCCTTTAAAATGCTACTTCTGTTTTATACCTCAATAGATTCAAACCAAATTTGGTCTGTAGCATCACTGGGGGTAAATTCAGAAAGTTTATTTGACCCTTAGGGAACTTAGAGAGCCCCAAATTGGAAGTTAGACAATCAATACAGTACTCTTCCTTAAGGCTTGAATAGATTTCATTTAGATTTTGTCTGAAACATCATTAAGGGTGAGTAATTCGTTCTTAATTCAGAAAATTGATTCAACACCTAAGGACTAAGTAAAATTAGGCAGTATTTTCCTTCAAAATGCTACTCCTGGTTGGAATTCACCCAATTTGAAGTCTGAAACATTATCAGGGAGTGGCAATGATATCAAACATGCATGAAGTGATTCTGAAATTGCCTCACCAAATCTTATGTTTTAGTTTGGTCCAAAATCTAACATTACTCATCTTGAAGAAAAATTCTGAACTACTTCTCAAGTTTAATTCACACCATTGAGAAACAATATTTGGTGGGGTTTAATTTGTTAAGAAAGAGAAACAGATATTGTTGTTTATTGTCAGTCTGATCAAAACTTCAACATGGTAACCACAGTAGTCATTTTGTAACATGATTGCACAAATGTTTTCATGAACAGAACCTGCCATTTGTGACTTTCTGATAATTTCTAGGAGAGTTCATCTGATGACCTTTAAGGGACATCGGGCCCTCTAATATAATCTACCAGCTAGCGAATCAAGAAAGAGCATGGATGTGATCAGTATACAGTCATCCATCTGTCCAGTCGTCACTGTCTGAGTAGCTAGTCATCACTTTGTCTGTCCAGTTATCCATCTGTCCAGTCGTCTCTGTCTGAGTATCAATAACTCACTCTGTCTGTCCAGTCATCACTGTCTGAGTAGCTAGTCATCACTTTGTCTGTCCAGTCATCACTTTGTCTGTCCAGTCATCATTTTGTCTGTCCAGTGATCACTTTGTCTGTCCAGTCATCACTCCGTCTGTTCATACATCACTCATCCAGTCATCACTTGTTTTGTCTGTCCATACCTCACTCTTTCTGTCCTGTCATCACTTGATCTGTCTGACCATACATCACTCTGTCCAGTCATCACTCAGTCTGTCTGTCCATACATCACTCTGTCCAGTCATCACTCAATCTGTCTGCCCATACATCACTCTGGCTGTAATGTCATTTTGTCTGTATGTCCTGTCATCACTGTCTCTTCATACACCATGCAATCAGTCCGTCCACATGTACATCACCCTGTCTTTCCATGTACCAATCTGTGTGTCCAGCCAAAACTCTGTCCATACAGGAACATCTATTTGTGTGTCTAGTCAATACTGTGTCTGTACAGGGACATCTATTTTTTGTGTGTCTAGTCAACTCAGTCTGTACAGGGACATCTATTTGTCTGTATGTCTAGACAATATTCTGTTCGTACAGGGACATCTATTTGTCTGTGTATTATTTTTATGGGGTGCACTTTCGAAGAGAGAGCCAATATTTGACTGTAAACACTCATGGTTTGGTTTTAAGAGGACAGCGTTGGTTCACCTGTCTGTAAGGAATATGTAAATACATTTTATAGGGCTATATATCCAAAGAATTATGTTGTAAAATAATTAACGCAGTAAAAATTCAGGATATCTTTTAAGTGATATGTACCCCCTGAAACAGATTTAGGTCAATTACATTTCTAGATTAAGGTTTTATCTGTCTGTTTCATCCTTCATAGATCGTGTCTAGATCTTTAAACAAAAACTGATCAGAAATTGAATGTTGTGTACTCTTTAAATCGTATATGTTCTTATGAAAAAATTGTACAAAAGACACACAAATTCAGTACATTTTCCATAATTTTGGCAGTTGAATTTTAATTTTCAGTTTTGATATCCCAAATATGATATCTTTATAGGAGTCTTTATATTTGTTCAAAGTACTGGACTCACAAACAATTACTCTACCTATAAAGAAGTTATGTTCACATAGAATATTTTTATTGTAATTAAGTTTATATTTTGAGCTGTATGTTATCGCCCATCAGCTGATCCAAATTGCTGTACACCCATATGGTACATGTAATTGCTGTTGTCTGTCTGTATGTAAAACAATTTTTATGATCATTGATCAATAATTCTAGAGAAATACTGAATGGATCTTTATCAAAATTTATGTGAATGCTCCCCTCAATTCCCAGTTGTGCTGTGTTGATTTTGGGACTCAGAGAGACAAAATGGCTGAGAGGCAACCAGTTTCGATTTTGACAATTGACATCACTATCTGTTGAGAAACACAGGATGGATCTTGTTCAAATTTTCATACATATGTTCCCATTGGTCTCGATTTTTACCCTACTAATTTTAGGACTGAAAAAAAGATGGCTGACAGGCAGACATCTTGGATTGTGACTATTTAAGTATGTCATTGTTATTTCGAAGAAATATTGGATGGATCTTTCAGAATTTATATGTATCTTCTTCTTGGATCCAAGTTGTGCCCCTTGAGACTAAAAAAACCCACCTGAAAAGACTGAAATGCAGCTACACTAGATTTCACAGTCATAGTTTGTTATTTCTTTTTCTTGAGTAATACCAGATGGAATTTCTTCTCAAATTCCATATGTAGGTTTACCTTGATCCCTGATGGGGCCCTTTTGATTTTGGGATTGATTAGGAGAATAGAATGGCGGACAGATGACCATCTTGCAATATTTGACAGTTAAAGATTATTGTTAATTTTTTCAGAGGAATTTTCACATTTTATGAAATTATGAACAAAAATGAAGGAAAGATGAGAAGTGAAAAGAAAACTTATTCAACTTTTAAAGGACATATAGAGACCAAACAATGGTGGGCACCAAAATCTCTCAGAGATATTTTGTTCTAGCACAATTTTACATACTGCTCGTCTGTGATCAAACTGTTTAAAATGACATGTTTTTCTGGTGTTAATCTTGTCAACACTCCTTAATACATTTTCATTTTACAATGATATTATATGTTATATTCAATTCTGTTAGTCCATATGTATACCAATATATTTGTTACTTTCATTTTACAGATATATATTACTGTTGTTTATTCTGTAAGTACGTAAATATGTTTGCTTTCGTTTTACAGGTATATATCATTGTTGTAATGTACTGGGTCCTGCTGCTGGCTACATCATTGGTGCTGTATCGCTGTCGTATTATGTTGACATAGACAGAATACAAACGTAAGTACAATAAAGAAATAATTTTCCTTTTTTGTTATTTACTAGTGTGTAATTAAGTTTTTTTTACAGATATCTTAAATGGCGTATGATGTTGACGTACCTGTTAAAAAATGCAGTTCACATACACCAGTAAACATTAAACACACCATGTGTACTTTCATTTTACAGATATATATCATTGTTGTTAATTCTGATATAAAACTAATATGTGTATACTTTCATTTTACAGATATATATCATGGTAGTTTATTCTGTTAGTATATGACCTTGAGAATGATTGATAAGATCAGTTTTGTAGATTAATATTGCTTTGTTCTCTCCTTTTCAGGGTGACTATAAACTCCGAGAGTTCTCGTTTTGTTGGTGCTTGGTGGGTGGGCTTCCTTTTTGGTGCTATATTGGCTGTTATTATGTCTATCCCGTTGATGGGTTTCCCCAGAATGTTACCAAGTAGGTATACATGTCCCTTAATGTCTAATCTTCAAAGAATGTTAATATTGTAAAGAATATGTTAATATTGTAAAGAATATCATTTTTTACAGTTCCCTCCCTACAACCTGTAGCAGGATATATATATATATATAAAACCTGTCTATGTAGGCCACATCTAAACAACCAATGCAATGTAAAAGACCACCTCTGTGCAGCTAAAAACTTGTTTATAAAGGTCACCTCTATACAACAAATACCTGTCTATAAAGGTCACCTCTATACAACAAATACCTGTCTATAAAGGTCACCTCTATACAACAAATACCTGTCTATAAATGACACCATTATATAGCAAACTTCCTGTATACAAAGATCCCCTCTATACAACAAATACTTGTCTATAATGATCGTTTATATTTTTTTAAAAAACCTGTCTATAAAGACCACCTCTATATAACAAAAAACTACCTACATATCTCTTTCTGTATCTGTATAATCATATATCATCTTTGTCTTTATCTGTCATAATGGTTTTACAATTATTTTCAGAGTCGACAGACTACAAGGAAGGGCGCGAGAAGGAGACATATAAGACAGGGGGTCAGTTGGACAGATCCCTTGGGGATGGAGAACGGGAGGGAGAAGGGATTGGGGAGAGAAAAACTGGGATTTTGGATGTATATAAATCTTTCAGGGTTCTCTTCATGAACCCTACATTTGTGTTCCTGACCTTGGCTGAAACAACTGAGGGTATGTGTAAAGTAATAAATGCTATTAGTGCTGACTGTTTGAACTATCATTAAGTATCAAATTTTGTATAGTAACAGTCTTATTTAGCTGACCTGCTTCCAACGAGGACCTACACGCTGATATAGATTCACACTGTCCATTTTCCATTGTTGGTGTCGTTGGTGTCATTAAGCATTGTTTGTTTGATTGATTTTGACCAAACTTTTTCTGTGGCATTCTTTACATGTCTATGAAGAGATGACAACTTTGTGTAAATAGAGAGAAAATAAAAGTTTTTTAATATTTTTTTCTATTTTTAGAAAATCTATCACTGGTTCATTGATTTCTGTCTCATTGTGATCAATTTATTTGTCTTTTTCAGGTTTTGTGCTGGCAGGGTCGTCCACATTTCTGCCCAAGTTTGCAGAGGTTCAATTCAGTTTGCCAGCCGCAACAGCAGCCCTATATGTTGGTGAGATAAACCTCTCTTAATTATAGCTCATATTTTCATGATCAGCTTTACACATAGAGACATGTTGTACAAAAAGTAACCATGAAATATGTCGTAGGTAATATATTGTAATACTGAGAAACTCATTTAATTAAAACAATTTTCTATATTAGTGTACATAGAATTATACTATGACAGAAAAGTTCTGTTATTTGCTTCCCATCTGTTATGTACTGTTTACCATAATGCAAATTCATGTATGTATCAAACTGGTCATTTGTATAATGAAAGTGACAGTTTAGTCATCAAAATGTAATTTGATTTTAATTTCAATTCTGGTTATGATATAAAACTTCAGTTTCCATGGCAACTCTAATTTCCTATTTTACTATATAATAATTGATAACACTAATATAACAGTAGCAGATTTTATATTAAACAACTAAAATGTTCAAAAGTCACAAAATATCGCTTTTAACACAGAAAATATAAATTTCTATAATATCATTTGTGATGTAATAGGACATTTGTATGAAATGAGGCTAACAAATAATTTTTTATCATAAGAAAAATGAAAACATTTTTTAACACGATCACTTTTTACAGGGGCAGCTATTATTCCGGCTGGTGGATTAAGCACGTTCATGGGTGGGTTCATTGTAAAGCGATTTAATCTGTCTGTGAGAGGAATCCTCAAACTCTGTGTTGGACTGATGTCGATGGCCACAGTCCTGGGGCTGTTTCTCCTCATTCACTGTCCCAGCGTACCCTTTGCTGGTGTCAATATCGAGTACGGTGTACCTAGCTCCTCAGGGTAGGTATTACCTATATTGAGAACTTATGAATCATTTCAATAATTTTTCTGTAGAAATCATATTCTTTTTGGTTAAAGTCTTTAAAATCTTGATTGACAAATAAAAATGAATAATGATTTTATTTCAGGACCAAATTCCTGGGTAGTTTTCGCTCTGACAGTTGTTACCAGAACTGTAGCTGTACCCAAGCTGATAACTACAATCCTGTATGTGGTGTTGATGGAATCACTTTCTACTCCCCGTGTTATGCTGGCTGCTATAACATTGACAAAACGACATCTCCCTGGGTCAGTAGAATTATACCTAAAATTACCTCCCCCTTGATCATTAGAAGTTATACAAATGATTTCTTCTGGCCAGTAGAATTATACTTCATGGAATAGTAAAATACTTAAGATTACCTCCCCTTGGATCATAAGAAGTTATATAAATACCTTCTCCTGGTCAGTAGAAATATATATGAAATTACCTTCCCCTGGATCAGCAGACATTATATAAATACCTTCTCTTGTTCAGCAGAATTATACCTAAAATTATCTCCCCCTTGATCAGTAGAAGTTATATAAATATGTTTTCCTGGTCAGTAGAATTATACCTAAAATTACCTCCCCTCGATCATTTGAAGTTATACAAATAATTCCTTCTGGTCAGTATATTTATATATATAATTACCCCTACTGTGTGTTTTCCTCCACAAAGGGAAATTGAAGAGACCTGAATAGATATTCTGCCCCCATTACAACACTTGAAATCATGCTTTTCAGATCATCTGACCTCAGGATGAGTTATAATCAGCATGTCTGCTGTCTGCCAGACCTACAGTTTTTACATTGTAAACTTCTTAAGTTTTACCTGTGGGATTAAGCTGAAACTTACCTAAAATGACCCTGAGATTGTCCTGACCAAATGTTATTTTTGAGGTCGGTCCAAAATTCAGTATGGCAGCCGTCTTGAAAAACACATTTTAAATTTCTTTTCATTTCCCATTGAGCTGAAAATTTGTGAGAATGAATGTTATGGAAGGGAAGCTAACAAAGTGTTGCCATCTTTAGGTTATGTCAAAAGTTCTACATTGTAGCCATGGTGGCCAGATGGTATTATGATTTCCAAATCCTGTTTTCCATGAATCATATATATTTGAAACTATTTCTCCAGTTCTACCATTGGGACATTTTGAAGCTTCTTCCATAGTTCCACTGATGCCACTATTCAGAAATTATATGGAAATGTTGAGAAAAAGAAGGGAAGATTATTTTTCCCCTTACTGGTAAAAGAGCTGTCTATTGCTAAAGCTGTTTTATATGCAAATGATTGTTCCCACTATTGCTGTTACCTGTGTGTCATATATCTGTTGTACTAGCCAGATGACTGTCAAGGTGAATGTTAAGGCCCCATGGGCCTCTTGTTTCCTTTTATTTCCTGTATTGCTGTTTTTTTTTTGTCGTTAATTTTCAACTCTTGATTTCCCTCATGACATTGTACCTTATATGACCCTAGCTATTGTAAGAATATTTAACCCTGTAAAAACAAATAAAAAATGTGCATAATTACCTCCCTTTCTGTCATTAGTTCACTGTACTTTCCCTTTCTGTCGTTATATGTGGTAACTTGTTCTGAATCTTTTTGCAGTCATATCGTAACTGTTCCTGTGTGGAGGCTGTAGGATCAGCAGTGTTTGAGGCTCAACAGGGCACATGTGAGAGTACATGTACACTTCTGTCTCCATTTCTCATCCTCAGTACCATCTTTGTACTTACCAAGTTCATGGTCGCCATACCAGCTCTGACTGCAACTCTACGGTAAACGAAAGATAATACTTTTTTCACTTTTAATAAATATCTTTGTGTACTCATAAATTTTAAGTCATAAAAATGCTAAATATGAAGCTGTTCGTTTCTTCTCTGTGGAAGTAAATTGAAAATTGATGTCGATTTGTATAAATAGAAACGAAAAGTGAATAATTGAATAAAGACTTCCTCTTTCTTTCACTGCAATTATGGAATTTTAGCTGATGTAAATTCTTACTTTTATTGTCAGTTATAGCTGGTTTAATTCAGAAGGGACTACAAACATTTGTAAGCTGTGCCTTAGTTACAAGTAGTTATTGTAATGCTTTTTTAGAAATTTTCTAAATGAGTAAATGTTGTTGATTTTTGATATTAAAGGACATTTGGAAGTGTCAAATGAAAATGCATATATGATTTCAGTATTGTTAGGTCCAGGACAAATTTTCCATTGATGTGTACTGAGCGATTCTGTCTTCAGTTTGTCAGCGGTATAATGTAAATTGTCAACATTTGATGAGCTGAAAGATGTCTTTCCCAGAACTGCTTGACACATTTTCACTAATTTTTATTTTATGTTGTCTTGATGTCACAAGTAAATCTAAGTGTTAAGATTATAATCAAAATGAGTTGCACAAAATTGTATAAGATAGTAGATGATCACAGAGGTATTTATCTCACAGTTATGTCCCCTTTTTTATGTAACTTCATCGTTGAATATCTTTATAATGTTTTGTAGATGTGTGCCTCACAAGCAGAGAGCATTTTCTCTGGGAATTCAGTGGACAGTATCCAGATGCCTTGGTAAGTTGACTATTGTGAAATATGCTATTTAGGTAATGGTCCTTTCAGTTAGAATTTTGTTTACCTTTAACAGGAGCATCAACACTTTCCATGGTTCCAAAGATAGATTTGTCTTTCCCAAGGATAAGACAACTCACTATGCAGATGTGTTGTTGGCACTTTATGTGAGAGTTTGGTGTCACAAAAAGATTTTAAACATCATCAATTTTGATATTCCATGGGTCACCAAATGTTATGGTGACACAGTTCACAATAACTTCCAAGATATTGCTGTTGAATATTGTGTTATAATCCACCACTCACATCATCGTATTCTGAACAAATTTTTCTCGAGACATCTGTATCTAGACTTACACTGGTGTAAGGTTACAGAGGAAAATTCTCCTTTTATACCTCTATGACATCACATCAAGAATGCAAAGCATTTCACATAATGAAATTGAAATAATTAGGTTTTATATGTTTGGTTTCTATGGTAACGTCACTAATTAATTTCTACCTGGCATCACTAAAGGTCACATGTGTTGATATGAAAAATATTAAATGACATGGGTATATTCACTGAACAATACAGCATTTTATAAATCCCTGAATGTTTCATTTCTAAACAAAACTGTGTTAAAGGTGTGTACACAAAAGATTTACAAGGAAATAGCTACTTTAAATACAAATTACAAACTAGGTACATTGTAGACAAAATTACATTCAGCTTAAATACATTTGCCTGCAAGGAGACACATATTTTACAAACTGCACTTTTTTGTTTTTTCAGGGTTTATCCCAGGGCCTATCGTATTCGGGAAGTTGATTGACCTGGCTTGTCTGTTGTGGCAGACGGATTGCGAGAATGAGGGATCATGTTTCTTCTACAACAACGAGAAGATGAGTTACTTGGCTATGGCTATCATGTTATGTGCGAACGTGGTCACAGCATTCTTTATCTTTCTTTCCTTACGTCTGTATCGCACTACGTCAGCAAAGATTGCTACAGATCAGAATAAGCCAGCTGACAGTAGCTTCAGAGAAGTGGATACCAACATGTCAGCAGAGTGTAAAAAAGAGTCCATTTTGAATGGAGAAAATATTGTTGCTGAAATGAACAGTGGAAATTATTTCTCTGACAACTGTCACAAGTTGTCAATGAGCGGTATAAAAAAATGTGACCTTGAAAGTCCTGAATCAAGGGCAGAGAGTCTAGATAACTCCAATAACACATTGACAACTTCATTATAGTGTATACATGGTGCCTGTTAGTCCTCGTCGCCTTGACAACAACAGCTTCATTATAGGCTGTATAAGGTTCATGTTTAGTCCTTGTAGCCTCGACACCAAAATCATGTTAGCATCACATACTTTGCTTTAAAAGTTTTTTTTTTTTTTTTTTTCAATGATTCAAATTTCAAATCTGTTTTTTTTATTTATTTTTCTCATTCTTTCACCCTCAAAATGGATGCTACGCGTCGGGATGGGGAAAGGCAGCAAATTTGGTTGACTGTCTGTTTAGTCCACTTATCACTTTCTGTCCAAGATGAGATGACTCATTCAGGATTTGAAAATAGTCTTCTTTGAAATTGTAATGGTTTGCCATGTAAGAAAGACAACTCCTATTCAATCCCCAGATGAAGCCCACAGTTCTGGACGTAACCGGTTGACGATTCATAAATAATTTATCTTAACTTACTACAAGCTTGTTGCAATTGTCCCCCTACTTAGCTTGTCCCTATTTTCCAATCGCCCTGCATACCTGATAGATATTCAAGTGAGGAGTGACATCCTGAACCAGTATGAAAGTAACAGCACTGATCAATTTCTTGGGTTGTATGTTAGCATATTCTTGTGATGAAAAAGGGGGAAAAGGCAAAATTAAATATCACATAATGCTGATGTTTGCGTAAGTAATCCTTAAAAACCCACAGGTCAGATTCCATTTGGGTACTGAATGTAAAAGGGGTTAAAGAACAGATTTTGTTTGTTTGTTTGTTTGTTTGTTTGTTTTTGCCCATATCATTAAATCAAATTACCCTCTGAAGAATTTGTTGACCACAAATTAAGAAAACAATATGCAAAGATTTTTGTAAATGTGATATAAATGATTTTGTATGCATGAACCAAATTTTAGCAAAATGTTGAATCTAGATTATTCAACACCCTTAAATTATCGGGAATAGAGAATAAAGCAAGACATAGGGAATGTTCATGATACTTCCTTGAAGACAACATACTTAAGTGTGAACTGAATTTAATTACTTTTCCATTGCATGTGCTAATTCATAACTTCTGAAGGTCATTCTCATACTATTGCAACTTCTGAAGGTCATTCTCATACTATTGCAATATATGTGTCAAATTGCTGGAAATAATATATGTAGCCCCCGTCCAGTTTATCAGTCGTGTTCAATAATGTATGAACAGAAGGATTAGTTTTAATGTTAACACTATATAGGGACCATCACTATTGTATGAATGTTGAACGCAAGCATTGATTATGGTAAAGGAGCTTCTGTTTATCATTTTTTTTTAGATTGAAATAAATGTTTGAATGTTCACGATACATTTCTTGATTAATTGTATCAAAAATAAGCACATTTCAAGAAATATATTGAACTGAGTAAAATGCAAGTGTATAATGTATCATACATAACCTTTTTGAAATATATGACACACATTATGGATTGCAAAACAGCAATTATTAGAATCAGTCGTAACTGTATCGAAGGTGAAATTGCCTATTTGTATGCATTATTGTCGAGTGCCAATTTATTGTTTTGTTGTTCAGTTCGAAGATCTGATGTTTACAGATCTGTGTGTCATATTTCATGTTGATCCTGACTTGAAATGGTCAGGGATATATTTCATTTAATCCTGGAATTAATCTTTGTGCTTAGAGGACAAGTGTCTGAATAATGTTTGTTCGACCATTATTTTACTAATCACTACTGTCTGATACACAAGTTTAAATGTTACTTGTCATCATAGGCTCTGTGTCGTATTGGCTAAAACATAGGTGTATTTAGACTACAATTAGATATAGCAAGTTAGAAATGAAAATAAAATCTGCTATGTAATACTACAACTACTGTTGAAAACATTATGTTTTTACATACGTGAAATAAAACATTTAAAAATGCTCATACAAAATACTAAATGGATAATGTAATAAATTACATTAATCTGTGTAAAATGTATAGCATTTTTTTTTGGGGGGGGGGGATAATGTATGATGGCATATTGTTTATGATACATTGAAAAAAAAAATTGAAGAATTTCATTATCATTTCAGAAAATAGTAATAGAAGTTCTCACTATAAATGCATTGCTTGTGTAAAATAATTAACTCATTTTTATAAGATAGTGTTTGTAAATCAGATAAACTTCTATGATATTGTCCATATTGAAATCACAAACAATATGGGTACTGTAAATGAAAGATTCTATATACACATGTTTCATGGTTTTCTTAGTAAAACATCAGTCCTTCCACAGAACTCAAGGTTTTGTTTAGGGCTATTCCAGTAAAATATCTGTCTCACCCCAGGACTCTAGGTTTTGTTTAGGGCTATTCCAGTAAAACATCTATCCCGCCCCAGGACTCTAGGTTTTGTTTAGGACTATTCCAGTAAAACATCTGTCCCACCCCAGGACTCTAGGTTTTGTTTAGGGCTGTTCTAGTCAATTATCTACCCCACCCCATGACTTCAGGTTTTGTTTAGGGTTATTCCAGTAAAACATCTGTCCCTCCCCGGACTCCAGGTTTTGTTTTGGGCTATTCTAGTAAATTATCTATCCCACCCTAGGGCTCCATTAATTACTTAGAGGCAATAAGGAAGAGTCCAAACCATGCTTAGAAGTGATTTATTTTGGAGTTCTGGAGGCAAGAAGATTTTGTACTGGAATTTTTCTTGGGATGTTTGTTTTCGTTTGTTAATGTAATGTCAATTATCCTGATGATAATTGATGGCCATAATACATAAATATATATAAACATGCAAGTCCTGCAATATGTTGATTTTAAAACATTCATCAATTTTATGTTTTACACACATAGTTATGGATGGGATGAAATTATTTGTAAATAAATTGGTGGATGTAATAGAATACTGAAATATATACTGTTATATATTTTTTTTTCCTAAAACATATGTTTTTGTTGATAAATCTTGATCACAATATTCACTTGTAATAGTATTATAATCCATGTCTACTTTCATTTTTTATCATTTTGTGGACATATAAATTCATGGATTATGAGTACCCAAAAATTCAATGAAAATAAATTCCCCACGAAAATTAATGGTTTTGCAGTATTTAACAAAAATTGGAAACATCTTGGAAATGATAAATGATCTTAATCCTGAGTTATAGCCAAACAACTTTTAACATTGATGTTATGTTTTATCATATTTTATGTACCTGTAACGTCCACTACAGTGCCTGGTGGTCTTAGATCATCTAATTAGGTTATTAGTCACTAATTGTATAAATTAGTTTCTGATTGTGTAAATAAGGTTGATTTTTTTTTTTTTTGCATGCAAACATATGTCATGATGATGCCTTCTTTTCATTTCAAATTGCCGGAGCATTTGATTTTAAAGACTTCATGAGAGTTAAAATTACCGGAGACCCTTCACATTATATTGTGTGTCATGATTTGAAGAGTTTACATAAATTATGTTTTGAAAAGAATATTTTAATCTGTACATGTATCGTACAAAATGAACATAAATATGCTTTTTATTGTCCTACTTGTATTCTTGTTATATTGATAATACTGAATCTCAGGAAAACAGTTGCAGAATCATGTCCTATGTTGTATTTTGCAAGCATGTTTTCTTTTATTATAAAGTATTCATATTTTGTATTTTATTTTTGAACAATAATTACGGATATTGATGCATTTGTTTCTAGTCATACTGTTTGTAAATATATTCCCAATGTGAAGCGCTTCAGTCTATTGAGGCTGGAATGTCATGAAGCTCTTCGGTCTATTGAGGTTGGAATGTCATGAAGCTCTTCGGTCTATTGAGGTTGGAATGTCATGAAGCTCTTCAGTCTATTGAGGTTGGAATGTCATGAAGCTCTTCAGTCTATTGAGGTTGGAATGTCAACATAGGATTTGCTATGGTCAAGGCTATTATTACATATTGTCTTTTTTTAAGAGTACTGTCAAACCTGTCTAGAGAGACTTTTCAATGTATCAGAGAAAAAAGGCCTCTATACACAGTTGACCTTTATATAGAGGCTCAATAACTATGAATTTCATTACATAGGGAACCAAAAAAGTGGCTTCTATAGACAGGTGGCCGATGTATAAAAGTGGTCGTGAAGACAGGTTTGACTATTCTGTAAGGAGATCATAAGAGATTTTCATTCTATGTAATGTATATATGTCTCGTGATTAACATGTAAGAGGATCAATTGATAAGGAGAAATGTTATTTGTAAGAAAATTTTCTTTACAAATGTGTCATGTTTATGGAGACAGGATGCATGAATTCATAATGTATTCAGTATTATCATGTGAAGATATTCAGTACAGTTATGTCATGTTTAAAGATCCTTGTATTTTTACGGCCATTTGAAAAAAAACAGTATAAATTTGTAAGCAGGAGATATAAAGAAACATACAGTATATATTGTCATGTTAAGAGAGTCTTGTCAGTGATATGATTTCCAGTTAAATTCAGTAAAATTATGTCATTTCGAAATATATGTCTTTGTGAAGGAGATTTTAAGTATTATTCAGTATATATGTCGTGTTTAAAGAGATTTGGTCACAGTTTAGGAGATTTGATGAGATGTACAGATTTGTCAGGAGATTTGAAGAGTTATTCAGTATAAATATGTCATGTTTTAAGAGATTTGTCATAGTTTAGGAGATTACAAGAGAAATTCAGTATAAATATATCATATTTTAAGAGATTTGTCATATTGTAGGGTTTGAAGTGAAATTCTGTATAAATGTGTCATGTTCTAAGAGATTTGTCATGTTTTAGGAGATTATAAGAGAAATTCAGTATAAATATGTCAAATTTTAAGAGAATGTTGTGTTTTAAGAGATTTGTCATATTGTAGGGTTTGAAGTGAAATTCTGTATAAATGTGTCATGTTCTAAGAGATTTGTCATGGTTTAGGAGATTTGAAGAGAAATTCAGTATAAATATATCATATTTTAAGAGATTTGTCATGTTGTGTGGTTTGAAGAGAAATTCAGTATAGATAGGTCATATTTTAAAA